CTTTTTGAAACGAGTGGCAATAATGGTTGCAAAGATCTTGTAGTCAACATTTAAAAGCGAGATGGGTCTATAATTTTTTATTTCTTTTCCCTCAGTATTGGGTTTATGTATTAATGTAATCAAGGCATCATTCCATGAGTTTGGTAAATTTCCTGTTTCTGTAATCTTGTGGAGTAATTCTTTAAATGGGAGAAGAATTTCGTCACCAAATTTTTGATATACTTCGGCCGGAATGCCATCAGGACCTGGTGATTTTTTTCTTTTGTTTTTTAAGTGCTTCTACAATTTTGCAGGGGGTGATTGGGTCATTTAATATTTTTTTCTGATCAGTAGTAAAAATTTTTTTATTACGTTTCAATAGAAAATCTTGAATTTTTTTGTAATTTGGTGGAGTTTGTTCATATAGATTTTTATAGACGTTTTCTACAATGATTTTCTAATCCTGAGTTCTATACTTTGTTTCTTGATTTTCATTTTTTAGACCCCGAATTGTCCTTTTCTCTTTTTCCTTTCTAAGTTTATACACCAGCCAGCGTGTAGGTTTATTCGCATTTTCAAAATAATACAGTTTAGTGTACTCTATCTTGTTGGCTATTTCTTGCATTATCAATATATTTATTTGGTGTTGAATCATTTTTATCCTAAATTTAATCCCATCCACCTCCACCTTCTCTTTCATTTTGTCTTCTTCTATTTTTAATTCTCCTACCAGTTTTTTTAATTTCTCTCTCTTCTGTTTCTTTTTCCAGGCCTCTTGATTAAGAAATAGTCCTCTCAAAAAAGCCTTAAACGCATCCCATATGATATTTATTGGTGTATCTACTGTCTTATTCCTCTTGAAAAATTCTTGAATTTCCAGGATAGTATTTTCCACAAACTTTTTGTCTCTTAGTAAACCAGTATTCAGTGTCCATCTTGTTGCTTTATGTGGTTCTTGGAAGGATAATAATATAGGGTTGTGGTCGGCATAGGTGTTGGGAAGTATTTCCACCTCTAGTAGATCTTTCGCCAAACTAGTATTTGTTCAGGCTGTATCGATTCTCGACCATGATTGATGTCTGAAGGAATAATAAGTACAATCTTTTTTAGTTGGATTTCATGTTCTCCATATTCCTATCATATTAAATTCCTCTGGTAATAATAGAAAATCAGCCAGCAGTAAGTTGGTTGCATTGAGCATTCAAGCACATTTAAGACCCTCCGACCTCATCTGCATCATCTGCGCCATCTGCATCATCCACATCCTCACGCTGTGAGCATGCTTCTCCCAACAAGAAACGCCCCGTCAGATCACATCAGTTTCTACAGCTGAGATAGATTAATTTAGCTTCGTATAATCTTCTTTGCTTCTTTGTTTGAGTTTAGATGTTAGACTCCTTTAGGTTCTTGTGAGCTCGTCTGGTGCTATGGCGAAGGCAAAAGTCTCGCCTGGCTTCCCCTCATTTTCTGCTTGAGACAAACCAAAAACTTCACAAGAGAGGGTCGCCACCCTCGCCTGCCAGGTTAAAGTCTCTCGCTAGTACTCTCACTGCTGGAAGGTACTTTGACTGGAAAAAATAGTCAAGAAAAGTGAGAGGTAAAGGTAGGAATGTGCGGAGAGCCTCAACACACGTCCTCCCTCAATGAGCCCAGAACCTGTTCTTTCCAAACTTTATTTTTCTTGATGGGGGTTGGAAAAGAGATCCTCCCAAGTCCCCTTCTATTTCATCTAATAAAGTGGCAGCTTCCTCTATAGTTTTTAATTTTTTATATTTCAGGTACCATTTTACCTGTGTGGGAACTTGTCTATAAAAAAGTTCCAAACCAATTAATTGCTTCAGTTCCTTACATGTGTTTCCTTTGCTTCCCTCAACCCATCTGGTTAAGGCTCTGTCTAAATGACAACCTAGCTGTGCATACGTTTCACCATGTTTTCTTCTAATTTCTCTAAAAGCTTTCCTGTTTTGTTCCGCTGTGAGTCCATACAGAAAATCAAAAGTGTTTTTTAAATATGCAAATTTAACTGGATAAAAAGAAAAAAGGTCAGGGACGACACCCCTCTTGACTTTGCTTGTTGCAAAGTTTCCAGTTTGGAGAAACATTTTCCAGTGAACTGAATGGTGTGACTACATGGTGTGCATCACAAGTTCTGCATCTATGGGAAGTTGCTTGATGAGCAAAAGTGTGTAATGTCTACACAGTAAGCTAACAACATATGGGAATCAGTACTGTTTGTGGTTTAAACTTCCATGGAAAGGAAAAGTCATAACCAGTCTACTCTGTTATGGTAATTGGGTGCAGAAGTAGCTCCCTGATTCATGGCAGGTTTCCACTGCAACTTGGAGGTGGGTAAAAATGGCTTTTCGTGCTGTAGAGCAACCACGAATAGTAAGAGGGCACTGTGATTCAGTTGTATTTGTACACATGGCATATGCACACTCTAAGAGAAAGCCACACTCCACTTACAGCAAGTAGTTATTCCCTGCTTATCATTATCAGATCCTCTGACAAAGCAGTGTTTCTTAATTCCAGACTGAATTCATTATGTTTGTAGCTTATTTAAGGTATCCTTTATCCACATAAATACACCTGCACTTAGGGGGAAAAGTAAGCAGTTTATTTTAAGAAAGGAATATTTGTTAGTTTAAATTGTGTAAAAATGCATGTCTATAATTTTTACATTGTATACCTGTGCCTGTTTACTTGGAAGTAAGTCCCGCTGCATTCATTGAGACTTACTCTCATGTAAGTGCATAAGACTACAGCCTTGGATTATTAAATCACTCCTGATTACTTTTGGCAAATATAGTTTGTTTGTCTGATTCGTTACTTAATTAGTATGTTGCTTTACTTTGGAGAAGGGGGTAGAAAAAAGGGCTACGGCGCTAGAAAGAACTGGTCTTGCAAACAATTAAAAAGATTGTTACGAAAAAAATCAGTTTCTTTTAGCAGTTGCTGGCTTGTGCAGCCAAGTATCAGACATACAGTAAATAACTTGCATTTATAAAAGATGGTTGGAGTTAGGGTTGGCTTACTTAGTCTAGACAGTATTTTTCTTGCCAAATATTACTTCTCTCAATTTGGCCTGTCGCAGTTGTTTGATAAAGGCGGCCCAAGGATACTACATATCAAGAGAGTTTACTTGAACTCCAGAATGAGTAATATTTGGGCTTTATACTCTGACTACAATACTGTAATGATTTTGAATGAGTGACCACGGGCATTGTTCCAAGTCCACACCAGATTCCAGCTTGTAGAGAAGCTATGTCTTTGTGAAGAAGTAAGATAGTACCATCCCTCCCCACCTACTGAGTATGCTTGTTCTGCTGGATACACTGGCCCCTTGTATGGTCTTGAAGGCAAATGATGTAAAGCTCAGCACTATGTACATTGCTTTGTGTCTGAAATGCAGGCTATAGGTATGCTAAATAAAGGTCTATGCACTGAAGCACAATTTTTAGTCCCTTTCCATTTTCATCATGTATAGACTCTGCGCAGCTCAGCCTTGTGAACACCATAACAGCCACTGTAGTGCAGTGGCTAAGAGCAGCAGACTTTAATCTGGAGAGCCAGGTTTGATTCCCCACTCCTCCTCATACTGTGTGACCTTGGGCTAGTCACAGTTCTTTCAGAACTCTCTCAGCCTTACTTATCTCACGAGGTGCCTGTTGTGGGACGAGGAAGGGAAGGTGATTGTAAGACACTTTGAGGCTTCTTAAGGTAGAGAAAAACAGGGTATTAAAACCTACTCCATATGGCGCACACACACACATACGTGTGTGTGTGTGCGCAATTTTTACAAAATTGTGTGGGTTACTGGTTGATAAACCTAAAATGTTATTGTCAGTTCCTTTTAAGTGTCCATTCTTCTTCCTTGAATATAAATTTAGCCCTGCCAAAGTAAAGTACTTTTAAGCAGCACTGGTTTCTAAAAGAAAGATCTGTTCCTGAATCTTTAGTTGCTGTTTGTGGCTGGATAGGCAGCCTGCAAGGCCCAGATAGCAGCAGAGTGCTCCTGATGGACCAGCCAGAAGAAGACACAGCTGGGTCAGAAGTGGCGTGCTCCCACTGATTTGGGGTGTGTGTGTCCTGGCTGCCTGGGCCTTCAAAGACTGGTGATTAGCTGGCAGAAGGGTAGTGGGACATGCAGCTGCAGTGGGTGGGAAAGGCCCAGAGTCGAGGAGGGATGGGGGAGAGCAGGTGCAGCCAGTACCTGGTGTGCCCAGGAAATGCCTTGGATGGAGGCAGTGTGGTAGGAGCCTTTAGAGGCCTTGGCAGTGGGAGGGCCTGCAGGCAGCAGAGCAGTAGAGCCCAGCATGGCCTGAGAAAGGCCCAGGGATGTGTCAGAGCCAGAAGAACCTCCAAAGGCCTGGAGAACCCAGGTAAAGGCCTGAGGAACCCCAGGAGCAAGTTTGGAATGAGGGGTTAGTCCCAGAAGGAGACCACTACATGGATGTGGTATTTACCTGGGATGTGGGCTGCACCAAGGCAGTGAAAGGTACAGTAATGTGAGGGATCTACAAGATGCCATAATCTGGAAAATAAAATGGACCCAGGGGAAAAGAACCCCTTCCAGGAGGAACCAGTGGAAACCTGCCTCAAGAAAGGATCAGGGGACCTGGTCTGAGGCCATGGTAATGTGTGACAGTGCTTAATATACATATATCAGAATTTTGTAGAGCAGCCACCTTCACTGGTGACTTCTTCCATATAATGAGTAGTGTGCTGCTGATGCCACATGATGTGTGATGAAACTTTGGTGGTTTGTCAAAACCCAAGGTCTCATTTCACGGTGAAAGTGAAAGAACCTATTCTCTTTGGTGAGAACAGAAACTTCAGTATGTCAACTTCAGAAATACCTCTTGTTGAAGAAAACTTTGTGGCATAGCTGCACAAGGCTCTGCAGGTGTTTTGGGTTATAGCTGATAATTATAAGAGCATTATTGTTTGTTTTGGCATGATTGTGATTTCTGATTTCATGAAGAATTTTAAATCATTTTCTCTTTTTGCTCTTCAAACAGAATGATACCCCTTTCATCTCAGACTTTGATGATGAATGTCCACCATGGACAAACACAGGAATATGTTATCAAACCCAAATACTATCCAGCAAAGAAGGTGATTTCAGGAGAACAATCTACAGAGAGTTCGTTGCCTCTAAGAGTGAGCCATGATCAACTTGTTTCATCTTACCAGTGTGAGTATGACTGGAACATACTGGATTCTGATGGTGGTCTTCAAACAGAGAAAATACTGGGTGATCTCAACTACCCATACATTAACTTATGTTCAAATTATGATAAAGAAACATATCTATATCTGGTAAATGATTATGCCTTAAAGCGGTTAGGTAGCCAAGTCTGCAAGATGGGGAAGTCCAAAGCAAACAGAAAAGAACCTCAGAGGACTTCCCCATCTTGACTAAATAGGTGTTACATTGGTGAACAGTGAACTAAATTTCAAGTTGGTCTCAATATAAGTAAGTGTAAGGGACAGAGAATGCTAAACCCAATTATGCTGATGGGGTGGGTGATAACTGTCAGTGAAAGAGCTCAAGGAAAACTTGAATTCAGTGTACAGCAGCAGTGAAAAAGCCAAATTCAACATTGGGAATGATTAGGAAAGAGATTCAAGATAAAACTGCTGTCTTCATCCATGGTGCAGCTGCATTTGGAATATTGCAAGTAGTTTTATTTATCAGTGAACAAAATAGTTAAGACTTGGAACACTTTCCCTGAGGAAAGGCAAAAGCACAAGGCTTTTAAAATAGATTAATAAGGGAGATTACTAGATTGAAATTTATAAAAATAGGAATGATAAGAGAGAGTGCCTGGAGATATGTTTTTTTCTCACTCTCATAATACTAGAACTTGGGCTGACACAATGCAATTGATTGGCAGTAAGTTAAAAAGGGACTGTAAATTATCATAGCCATAGACTTAGGTTCAGGCTAGGTGTAGGGGAATGGCTCTCCCTTTGTCTTCTAAGGTAATTTACAGCTGTGTGTATTTTCAGTTTGGGTTGTGGTTGCATCGGGAGGGGGAGAGGGATTAAACTTTCTACCCCCTGTGTAGAAAGTGTAGCAAAGTTGATTTTTGTCAGTGTGTGTGTGGAAGGGTAGAAGATTTAAACTTCGTCTTCCCCTCTCTTCGTGCTTTTGATCTGAGCTGGGGGGGGGTCACATGTAGCTGTAGTTTACCACTAAAAGCCAAACCTATGATCTCTGTCAAGTCTAGTATGACCCTTAAATTGCTTAGAAAGCTCAAGTGTAGGATTCTCTGTATATAAAGCTATATAAAGTAGATTCATTATATCCAGAATTTCTAAATATTCAGACACATCTATATACTAATAGCGAAGTGCCCCCGTGAGTGCGGATCGCTAAATCCGCGCTCCGGGGGCACTT